AAGTCTATTATTGGCTGAACTTTCTCTCCTATCTTATGAGTTTTTAATTGTATATTTAATTTTGGCATATTTTGGAAAACATGACCTTATTTGTTTGTTTATAAAACTGTTGTAACTTGTAAACTTTTATTTTAGTTGGCTGAAGAGGGGCAAGGAATGCCCGAAACATGTAAAAATACAATGAACATGTATCAACTGAATAAAATTTAATGATGAGATTTGCCAAGTGTCTGAATAAATACAATAATTGATTTGTGTTCGAATTACTAAAAATTACTGGACATGGTTTCAAATATACCAGAATTTAATTTTTTAGTTATTATTGGTTTAATGTTTTAAGATCTGAAGTTTATATAATATCCAAAAGTCAGAAGAAAAAGAGAAATATAATTTTTTTGTATATTTTACATTTATGTAAGAAGAATAAGGGAAAAAAATTCTGACTCCATCTGTTTTTATAATTATTTTGGAACTTATAAATTTGAAGAAAAAGTTAAACACTTTCTGGACTGGATGTTTACTCTTGAAAATGCCTGTGTATATTCCAATCTACACAGGCATTTGAAATTACAATGTTTTGAGATTTGCTACTTTGTACTTTTGTCAACATTAAAATTAATAGAGTAATCATAATAAAAAATTCTTAAATTGTAATAAAATAAGCTTTTTAAAAATATGAATAAAGTCTGATTTTTATCTTAGTTGGAGTGATTGATAAATAAAAAAGCTTTAAACATTTTACTTTGGTATTTCTAGTATTTTTAAGCTAAGATTATCAATTATATAAGCTAAAGCTTTATTGACCAATAACTTTCTTAGGCAATAGTTTTTTCATTAAATGTACAGTACTTCCTATGTTGCCTATAGATGAGTCTAAGCCATCAAGCTCTGTAGAACAGGTAAAACTGAACAAGTAAAACTTGGTTCTTTTGATGAAAACAAACTTGACAAGTTACACTCACCCATAGACCAGAAAATGTTAACTTAGCACAAACACATTTAAGTTCTTTAAATTCATACATAAATGTGTTTGTGCTAAGTTAACATTTTATTATTAAAGTTGTAAGGCCTGCACCATTCCGAAAATTTACCATTACAGTTTAAAATATAAAAACACTAAATTGAAAGACACGAAAATCATCATAACCATCATTAATCAGAAGTTAAATGCAATTTGTATTAACATTAAATTTAATAAAGGAACAAAGATTACTAGCAAAATAATTACTTATTTAAGAAAGTTTATTAAAATATATATATATATATATGATCTTCCAAAAAGAATGTTACCATTTTAAATTATTGTAATTGAGTTAATTATTATTTGAAAACATTGCAATGTACATTAACATTAAAAACTGTCCAAATCTCACATGCTTCTTACAATTTCTCAATGTGCACCTTGCATCATTTGGCACATGTAGAAAAAATGAGTATTTGGTTGGATATTTGCTACAGCATATCTATTGCCATACCTATCCCAAAGGCAACCATAATTCTACAGCTCTTGCAGATTACTCATATTGTACAATGATGAGTGATTTTGACTTTTCAAACTGCAAAACACAAAACACCTTCTCTATGGAAAGTTGCCATTTTCATTTACAGTGCTTTCTAGAGATAGCAGACAACAAGATATTTGAATGCAGATAGGAAAGATAGGAGACAAAACTTGTTTACTCTGTTGATTGGTGTACATCTCAAACTTCTCAGACAATAATGAACATAATTACAATAATTTAACATTGTAATATTCTTTTTGGAAGACCCTGTATATAAAAATAATCTGAGGATTTTTAAATGAAGGACTTATTTATTTTTATATTTAAAGAATTAAAAAAAATAATAATACAAATAGTTGTTAACTGTTGCAAATATTTTACAGTTTAAGATAATTAAAACCAATTTAAAATATTTGAGAAAAATGAAATATCAAAATGATAAAACATTAATTTCAATGCACATTGATGGAATGGAGACTAATATCTGACTGCAATATACAAGTATACAGTGAGTGATCGGTTAACGAACAGATCNAATAATGAAGATTTAAATATCTTATGAAGTGTTTGCATCATTATTCACAAGAAAATACCACAAAATCCAATGGCATGAGACAATTCTCAAGTGATAAAGGCAGTTTACAGAATTTGGATACATTTTCAAGAAAAAACAATACTTGTCTCAGCAGTGATGATTTGACTAAAATGTGTCAGATCTACCACAGAAATCTCTGCAAATTGACTAACAGGACCAATAGAGATTAATATTCCGCAGAAAACTGTTTGGCTTATTTTCAAAAATTTCTACATTACAAATGATAGAAATCAAAATAAAACACAAGAAAATGTTAAAATTAATTGCAACAAATCTTAATATCAATAGAAATGAAATATCAAAAATTATGCAATCTAAGGAACCTAAACTTACATATTACACTGAAACTCCAGCAATAAAGTTCAATATTTACACTGTAAAACAAATGTTTTCAGCAATCTTAAGCCCTATCTTCAGGTTCTAAAGTCCTAAGTTTAGTGTTTCTCCAGTTACAATAGTAGTAGTATTTAAAATCTAAGAAATCAGGAAGTGAAAATAAAGAAAAGTGGTTCTGAGAAAGATGACATTTTATATCTACTTGGCCATATTTTCTGCAACTGTGTTATATTGAGAATATCTGAACGAACTGTACTAAATTGTTGTACATCTTCAATTTTTAGACCATTAAGCAAATTATTATATATCCCATAATCTTTCCTTCTTAATATTTATTCCTTATTTATTTATTTATTTATTCTACATTCAGTTAGAAATGTCCAATGACACATGATTTCTTCCCCCACGTAACAAATTTCACACATCTAAAATACAAAAAATTAACAGTAAAAATAACACAAAACTTTACTAACATGTTATTAAAAATTAATATAAAATTAAAATTAATACAATTCATTACTTAAACATTAAGTTAAAATATAAGATAATACAATATAAAACAATTTAAGACATAATAAATTAAGAATACTAAGTTGATCAAAGTTATAATTTGATCCATACATGGTAAAAGACTAAATCTTATATAAAATACGTTCAAAAACTTTTCCTTATCCAACACACTCAATTTCTCTTGTTTTTTTATTGTAATTCAGTTAGTATACTGAAAAAAAAGGACTCAATACTTAACAAATAACACTGTTGCAAATCTAAGTTGATGAGAATTAAACAGTTTTTGCTAGAACTTGGAGAAAGCAGAAATTGCACAACACCTCTGACAGATAACCACAAATTATTGCACAAGATTTGACACTAGTAATTTTTAATCTACCTATAAGAGTTACAATGTATCAATTGATTAATAAGAATATATTGGGGAAAGCAGGGAATAAATTTAATTATCCTATTAACATGTACAAAGTTACAAATGTGGCTTATATTAAAATAATTATAAGACACTGTTAAAATGTTAATTTAAAGCAAAATTTTAAAGTTGCCAGTATAGTCTGATTAACTGCCATCTGATTAATTTATCATTATCACTACACTCATGAAAACTAACAAAAAATTTTACAACCAGAATTTAGAACTTTAATAACTTAAGTTCTTATAAAAACAAATACTTTATACGTTACTGAATAATGAAAAATTAGTTATATTTAAAATTAATTAATTAATAAAAGATTTCAGGTAACTTCAATGACAACAGCTACCCATAAAAACTCAATGCTTAAGCTACTCTCTTTTACAAATTGAATATTGTATAATGGACTTTCACATAATAATTATACTGTATATCCTTATTGTAACATAGCATATTGTGGGTTCCCAGACGAGGTTTGGACTCAAGTAAACCTCGAAATTCTTATGTGACACCAGATGTAAACAACAAGATTCGGAATGGTTCGAGTGTGTCACACTATCTGTCAAGGGCTTAGCAAAAGACAAACTCTAACAAGAACGTTCATAAATAGGTAGATCACTGACTTGTGAGTCTATAAAATGTTAGCCGAGATAAACCTTCTCAAACAAAAAAAGGAAAATTTTTAATAGATGAAAATGATTGTTAAATTCTTGGCCTTAAAAAAAATGCACAAACAATGGCCTAAATTGAGTGCAGGTGTTATTGTTTTATAAACAATCTCCAGGCAGAGTCAACAAAGAGGTATCAAATGAACACCTTGAATCAGACCTTTCCCATGACCCGAAGAGGTTTTGTCTTGCACTTGGAGACAAAGGGAAAACCAATCGGAAAGTGAGGAATGGTATGAGGGACCAATCTGAAATAAGAATAGGGGGGAAAGGCTATAAAAATCAGAATTTCAAGGTTGAAGAAGAGTCTTCTCTGTATTCCAGAAAAAGTCATGATCTGTATTGAGTTGTGTCGTCGCCATCAACTTAGAACTCCACCGCACCATTTCCCGATCATCTGTTTTGCCCAGTGATCTCATCTTGTCCGGCCCAGGGCTATGACCGGCACCAAAGTTCTCGCCTCTCTGCCTCTCCAAAGGAAGGACTAGTGAAGGACTCAATTGTTGATGTAAGCATAAATGTTAACAAATAAATGGCTTTCTTGTGAAAACACTTGTCATCATTTGCCTCCTCCATCACAGCCCACATACAACCTCCCCTGAGGATCATCCTGACTTGGGATAAATTAATCCCACCTAAAAGTTGGTGACCTTACACAGGTGCCAAGGAGTGGGTTTTCAAGTCCCCTATCTCAACCGGGTTGGCTACCTTACAATATATATCATATATAGACTGAAGCTAGCTGATTTTTTCAGTTTATTTATTTTTAACAGCATAGTTTATCAAAGCTATTACAAACAGAAATTCAGACTAGTATTGCAAATAAAAACACTTCTATTCTTATATATACAACAACAAAATTTATAAACAGAACCAATCATAGTTGTGCTGATTAAGAATTTTATTGTAATTAAATATGTTATTAAATAAGGTGAAAAAAATTATTAAAATACTAAAATTTAACTTCTTGTACATACTTTTAAAGATGGATTATTGGCCATTGTATGATATATCCAAAATACTCTTGTTGTGACATAATATGCAATGACGACATCCACGGTGTAATGACCTCGAGAAAGCAGGACCATAAATATTCCGACTGCGCTTGCCAGCCACACTATACAAGGTAATATAAAATATTTTCGAGGACCATCTGCAAAATATTTCCTTAATCGTTACGATAATTTTTACAGTTTTAACATAAAAATTAATAAATAAATTAATAATATATATATAAAAAATAAATTTTAACCTCTGTTTTTAATTATGTAGACTAAAAAAAAATAAAAGTATTATATTTAAGAGAAAAGTCATTCATTCAAATACAAAAACATCCTCAGATTAACTAAATTCATCTTTAAGATCCATTTCAATAATATAAATTTCAATCAAGACTTTGAAACATAAAGAAAATTTACAATTTCAATATTGGAATGTAATTTGAATTGTTCTGGATTATGATTTATAAACTTAGAAAAACGAAAATTAAATGTAACATTTAAGAAATTTTGCTAATAAAAAGGTATAGAGTGAACTCTTGCTAATCCAAATTAATTTTTAAATTTATACAAAGAAAAAAAACCTGAAGAATACAAAATTAAGAAAAGTATAATAAAAATTTTATAACTATTAGAAAAATAATATCAGATAAAAACCTATTATAACTTAAATTCTTCATACATAAATGTAAAATATACAAAAAAATTATATTTTTCTTTCTCTTCTGACTTTTCGGATATTATATAAACTTCAAATCTTAAAACATTAAACCAATACTAACTAAAAATTAAAATTAAAAAAGTATAAAAAGAAATCAATTTGCAGAGAAAAACTTTTATTTATATTACTAATAAGCTCCCAAAATACATTTTGCCTATGAAAGGCCTCTTCAGTGGGGCTAACAGTTCACAGTTATCTACTGTGTACTGTTAGCCCCACTAAAAACTGATTTCTTTTTATACCTTTTTAACTTTAATTTTTTAGTAATTCGAACACAAATCAATTATTGTATTTATTCAGACACTTGGCAAATCTCATCATTAAATTTTATTCAGTTGATACGTGATCATTGTACTTTTACATGTTTTGGGCATTCCTTGCCCCTCTTCAGCCAACTAAAATAAAAGTTCACAAGTTACAACAGTTTTATAAACAAACAAAAGGTCATGTTTTCCAAAACATACCTTTTTTGATTACAGATTACTGAAAGTTAAAATTATAAAATTTTTCTGCACATTAAACTCGTTTGTAAGGTTTGTATCTTTAAAACACTTTTACACATACCACTTCTTATTATCTAAAAAATGTTTAAAATTTTTTTTTACATATTTAACTTCATATTATCTAAAGATTTTACATTAATTATCTTGTATACAACTATTTTGATAACAATACTACAAATTATGTACCTAGTTATTCATTTTGAAATTTAAACAATTTTAAAATTTTTCCTTATACATTTATTATCACGTTCAAATCGATTTAACAACAATACTAAAATTTACATACTGGTCTTTCATCTAAGTCAAAGACAAACATATTCTGCCAATCTTTCCCCCAGTTGAGCTTGCCCACTGTTTTCTACACAGTCACATGATGAGTAGGCCACCTTGTGGCAACATTTTTTTAAAAGGTTTTTAATTTTATAAGATATTGAGCAAGTTTCCTTTTATTTTAATACTTAAGTTTTTTATTTATACATTTATTACTTTTGATAATTTCTATGCTTTCTTTGAACTTACGATGATATGTTTCTTTTTCTTTGAGGAGCATTTGTACGTTATCTTTATCAATGTTATTCAATACAATCATTCAGAGTTCAATGATCATGAAAGGCAGAATTTATTCTATTATATTTTAGATCTGCTATATGTTCTTTTAATCTGGTTTTTAACTTCCTTTTAGTTTCTCCTATATAATATTATCGTTACAAGTACAATGAATCTTATATACCACATTCTTAGCTTCAGTTGGTAGTAGTTGTTTTTTTACAGTGTTGAGTTGTTTTAGTCTTGTATACATTTTTTAGTATGACGGTGCTAACTTAAAGTTTATATTACTTATTTCATTATCAATTTGTTCGTGTAGTCCTTTGATGTATGGGAAACCAATATACAGTACTTTATATCATTTGTTTTTTTATTGTCTCGTGGCGTTTTAAGATTTATTCATTCTAAGTTCCCATTTTTTTTAACAGTCTTTGTGGGTAACCTGCCAGGAGAAATTTCTTTTTTAATTCGGTTAAATCTGCAAATATGTGTATTTCTTCACTTGTTCTGTTTTTTATCTTAGAATATTCCATTTTAAATATATTATATTTGACATAAAGTGGTACGTTAGACTGATATCTTATTGCTATCTGACTCGAACCTGGTTTTCTAAATATTCTAAATTACAAGCTTTGTTTTAATCTTCTTATCGTAATGTCCAAATAGTTAATTTCTTTTGTGGTTGTATCTTCTATTTCTGTTTTATACTTTATCTCTTCTTGTATATTATTAACTTGCTTGTTGATTTCTTCTATCTTAATTTCTGTTTTGTTGTATATTATTAGAATATCATCCACATATCTTTTATAAAATTTTACACCTCTTATATTGCTAATTTTGTTATCTATATCTACCATTATTAATTCTGCTAATTTTGGTCCTATTACTGAACCCATGCTTATCCCACTTGTCTGTGTATGAAAATCATCATCAGCCTCAAAATAATTACTTCTGTATGCAAATTCTATTGAACTTACTATTTCATTTTTAACTTTAAGATTTTTTAATTTATCCTCTATTAGATCCCACGTTATTGACAGATACATATCTATAATGTCAAGACTTGCTATCTTAAAGTTTTCTTCCATACTGATTTGATTTAGTTCGTCTAAAAGTTCATCTGTGTTTCTAATTGCAAATTGTGAGTTGTGGTATTCCTTAAGTTGCTGCTTTAAAAATTTTTCTAAGTTATATAGTGTTGAATACTTAAAGTCTATTATTGGCTGAACTTTCTCTCCTATCTTATGAGTTTTTAATTGTATATTTAATTTTGGCATATTTTGGAAAACATGACCTTATTTGTTTGTTTATAAAACTGTTGTAACTTGTAAACTTTTATTTTAGTTGGCTGAAGAGGGGCAAGGAATGCCCGAAACATGTAAAAATACAATGAACATGTATCAACTGAATAAAATTTAATGATGAGATTTGCCAAGTGTCTGAATAAATACAATAATTGATTTGTGTTCGAATTACTAAAAATTACTGGACATGGTTTCAAATATACCAGAATTTAATTTTTTAGTTATTATTGGTTTAATGTTTTAAGATCTGAAGTTTATATAATATCCAAAAGTCAGAAGAAAAAGAGAAATATAATTTTTTTGTATATTTTACATTTATGTAAGAAGAATAAGGGAAAAAAATTCTGACTCCATCTGTTTTTATAATTATTTTGGAACTTATAAATTTGAAGAAAAAGTTAAACACTTTCTGGACTGGATGTTTACTCTTGAAAATGCCTGTGTATATTCCAATCTACACAGGCATTTGAAATTACAATGTTTTGAGATTTGCTACTTTGTACTTTTGTCAACATTAAAATTAATAGAGTAATCATAATAAAAAATTCTTAAATTGTAATAAAATAAGCTTTTTAAAAATATGAATAAAGTCTGATTTTTATCTTAGTTGGAGTGATTGATAAATAAAAAAGCTTTAAACATTTTACTTTGGTATTTCTAGTATTTTTAAGCTAAGATTATCAATTATATAAGCTAAAGCTTTATTGACCAATAACTTTCTTAGGCAATAGTTTTTTCATTAAATGTACAGTACTTCCTATGTTGCCTATAGATGAGTCTAAGCCATCAAGCTCTGTAGAACAGGTAAAACTGAACAAGTAAAACTTGGTTCTTTTGATGAAAACAAACTTGACAAGTTACACTCACCCATAGACCAGAAAATGTTAACTTAGCACAAACACATTTAAGTTCTTTAAATTCATACATAAATGTGTTTGTGCTAAGTTAACATTTTATTATTAAAGTTGTAAGGCCTGCACCATTCCGAAAATTTACCATTACAGTTTAAAATATAAAAACACTAAATTGAAAGACACGAAAATCATCATAACCATCATTAATCAGAAGTTAAATGCAATTTGTATTAACATTAAATTTAATAAAGGAACAAAGATTACTAGCAAAATAATTACTTATTTAAGAAAGTTTATTAAAATATATATATATATATATGATCTTCCAAAAAGAATGTTACCATTTTAAATTATTGTAATTGAGTTAATTATTATTTGAAAACATTGCAATGTACATTAACATTAAAAACTGTCCAAATCTCACATGCTTCTTACAATTTCTCAATGTGCACCTTGCATCATTTGGCACATGTAGAAAAAATGAGTATTTGGTTGGATATTTGCTACAGCATATCTATTGCCATACCTATCCCAAAGGCAACCATAATTCTACAGCTCTTGCAGATTACTCATATTGTACAATGATGAGTGATTTTGACTTTTCAAACTGCAAAACACAAAACACCTTCTCTATGGAAAGTTGCCATTTTCATTTACAGTGCTTTCTAGAGATAGCAGACAACAAGATATTTGAATGCAGATAGGAAAGATAGGAGACAAAACTTGTTTACTCTGTTGATTGGTGTACATCTCAAACTTCTCAGACAATAATGAACATAATTACAATAATTTAACATTGTAATATTCTTTTTGGAAGACCCTGTATATAAAAATAATCTGAGGATTTTTAAATGAAGGACTTATTTATTTTTATATTTAAAGAATTAAAAAAAATAATAATACAAATAGTTGTTAACTGTTGCAAATATTTTACAGTTTAAGATAATTAAAACCAATTTAAAATATTTGAGAAAAATGAAATATCAAAATGATAAAACATTAATTTCAATGCACATTGATGGAATGGAGACTAATATCTGACTGCAATATACAAGTATACAGTGAGTGATCGGTTAACGAACAGATCGGATAACAAATACTTTCGCGAAAGATTTTTATGTTCGGACAACGAACACATGATCGGATAACGAACGCTGCACAGAACGAACACAAGAAGAAGCGACGTAAAATAATGAATACCGATTGGTCTTCTTTTGTCTTCGGGCA